CCGTTGTGTCCTTGGGCAAGACACTTCACCCGGATTTGCTCCTGTGGGTATTGTCCACAGTACATGTATAATACTAATGTGTACCTGTAAAAGATGGACGGTGTGGCGCAGTGCGCTGTGCAATGATCATCAGATCAAGGGGTGAAACCCGCCGCTGCTGCGTCTGTAAAGCCGGTGTGTCCTTGGGCAAGACACTTCACCTGAACTTGCTCCTGTGGGTATTGTCCACAGTATCTGACCATTGCATGTATCATATATGTGTAATGTGTGTATATGTAAAGCGCTTTGAGTCATTGATAAAGCGCTATAATAAATGTAAGGAATTATTATTATTATTACATAGTATTATTATTATTATTATTACATTATTACCTGCAAGGTGAATACAGCTGGTAAAAGAAAAAGTGTTTGAATGCGTACATTAACAGGTTTATGATATCACTGCCCCGTCTAAAAGACGATCTGACTTTAATTACATTTGACTCGAGAGTGTTTCCTCAACTTAATGTGTTGCTTAAAATAATACTTCTGCATACAGTATGTGACACTGTGAGTGTTGCACGGCTAGATACGGCTCAGCTGACTCAGATAAGGAAATATATGATACATTATGATGTGATATGAATGATAATGGGACACATCGACGTCTGCACTCACAGTGCCGCGGACTGTAGGCTACGTAATGTTACTTTGATCCGGTTACTTATGTTGTGGCAGATATTTAATTAAGCTTTCTTAACATAGTATAATGATAGTTATAATAGTCAGATTGCTCTGAAGATGGGAGGTGATATTCTATTCATTTTCACGTTCACACAGTCAGTGTCGCTTTGGACAAAAGCGTCAGCTAAATGCAATGTAATGTAATTAACTCGGTATTTACAAAGCTGTCATCTCCACATTTGGAGAAAGTTACAAGCCGTTTGACAGCAGCACATCTGCATATTTCACAGAAGGCTCGTTTAGTGGTTTTGCAAATAATTAACCACTCTCTGTTTTTGTACCATTCTGCATTGAAGTACCTTCTCTTTGCCCAAATAAGCTTTTATTTGCCCATCTCAATGTCCCGACAACAAACCTCCATGCAGTCGGAACCAGCCTGTTTCGGTTCAACGATGCCGGCGGCGGCGGTTTTGACAGCCTCTGCGGCCGCAGAGCTGCTGCTGGGGTTCATCTGGCTGCGCTGGTTCTATGGTTGAAGGACCAGGCTCCGGAGTTGTGGATGTCAGGGATGTGACATTCAAGTTGTTGAATTTCAGCTTAGTTTGACTGTATTTTGTTTTCTTATGCGCCGGTTCTTCTGACATGTTTGCAAGTTTATCTAGGTTAACGACTGACACACACTGAACAACGTAGGCTAACACATAACGTAAACAACGTAACAAATAAACAAAAGCTTTGTTATTGGTTGTAATGTACATGGATACATTTGAATGGTGTGACAATGTCCTATTTGATTGGATTAAAATGTACATATTCTTCCTGTTATGTCTGCCTGCTGTATTTTACCTAATGCAAAGTGACCTGCTCTATCGAAATCAGTCGCATTGATCCGAAGACACATTTTGAGTTGTATACACTGTTGGAAAGAGGAGATTCCTCCTTTTCTAATGATATCAGGATTGTTTTTGCACTATATTAAGCAAAATATGTGACATTATATAACGACTGTCACCGAGTCATCATTTTGAGAAAAAGGCCTTCAAAGTTTCCTCTTCTCTGGATCGATCTGATTGATTATTAGCGGAGCAAATGATCAAAGTATACGGAGGGAAGATATTTTCGTTTGGATTACTGGTCTGGGGGAAACTCGCGAGTGTGTGTGTGTGTGTGTGTGTGTGTGTGTGTGTGTGTGTGTGTGTGTGTGTGTGTGTGTGTGTGTGTGTGTGTGTGTGTGTGTGTGTGTGTGTGTGTGTGTGTGTACGTGTGTGTGTTTGTGTATTTTTGCATTTGTTTCCCGGGGAAAACTCTCACGAGAAACACCGGCTGTTGTTATGCCTGCTGTGACGTCAAGTTACTCCGTTCTCCGCTTGTAATTATGCCGAAGCTTCAAAGCTGTATTTATCATCTGAATTTGCCGAAACAAGTTTAATATTCTGAAAGCCAAGACTTTGTTTATTTGAAATCAGATAAAAACAAACTGTAACGGACCCTGCCGTGTTATCTATGATTACTATACTCTTACATTCATAATGTCAGCGGAGGGAGGGGGAGCGGCGCTGTGGAAGAGCAGAGTGGCGAGTGAGAGGCGAGCTGTCATCTTCCCTTTACAAGCTTCAAAAATGCCTGTAGCTAATGAGATTGAATATAACAATCAAAAATAACAAAATATACACAGCTAGATCAGATGGCGTTCTTTTTAGATGCGACTTTAGAGTAGAGGGGAATTATTGAAACGGGATGTCCGCGGCATCCGCTGCTGCGAAAATGTGGGGCAGGGCCGCAAAGTGGGGGGGGCAATGTCCCCCTGGCCCCCCCGCTTCCGGCGCCCTTGGCGATAGTCTGTAGTGAAGGAGCGCGCTCCCGCTCACGGGAGCCTGCTCGCGCTGCGCTCCGCAGCAAACAGCTGTTTGTTTTTCACCCAACAACGACAACCAACTCACGGAACGCTATGTTGTAGCGTTGATAAACGAAACAATTTAACTAAATTGCTAGTCAAAATACCAATACCACAGGACCATTTTTTTAAAGCAATATTTTTAGTGGTCCGAGCGGGCAAGTGGAAAGTACGTTATGCTGGCCCGGGGTGTCTAAATAGTGCTTCCGGGCCAGCGGGCCATTTAATGTCGAGCCTTGCCGGTTACCGGCCGGCCCACATCGTCCGACCGGCCCATCGGGATTCGTCTTGATGGCCAGTCCGCCCCTGGTGTAGACTTTACAGCGGCTGCTGCCGTGAGCTAACGGGAGAATAAACTCCGGTGGACGAGCAGCACTGCAGCGGTCGGTAAATGCCGCTGAAACACATTAATAAACAATGAACCACGGCACTCTAGAGAAAAGCATAAGGTTGGAGAAGTCGTTATTTAATTTAATCTGGCTTCGTGTGATTAAAAGCAACACGATCATCGACCCGACGGAGTTCCCCGTTGTTGTTGTTGTGAGCGCCGTTGGGGAGCAAATCAGCGATGTAAACGGTGACGTCACGACGCAGCAGCGGCAGCACCAGTCGGGCTCTGGGCGGTGTGAACAGAGCGGGAGCAGAAAAGGGAAACCGGAGCTGAACCAGAAGCTAGCTCGGAGCTAGAAAGGGAAAAGCGCTGGTGTGAAAGCTGCATTAGTCAAGTGGAGTCAGGGACAGCTCAGTGCTCACTCAGCTCACTGCTGTGTCACTATGATATGCTCACAGCTGTGCACACACAAGAATGCAAAGCCGTAAATAAAAGCCAGGTATGGGTTTTTTAAATTGGTGTGGACAAGTTTTACCATACTTAGAAAACAGTTGTCATAAATAATATTTTGCTGTTATAAACTGAGCATGGAATCATTCTTTCGACTAAGATGCTTTTTGCTAATATCTAACGTTAGTCAGATTTTACATATTCATTTGCACATTATAATTATAGTGCGGTGCGTACTGTACCCTTTAAATGCCCTTTACAGAGCCACTTGACATTCAGTTGGATGAGGACACGTTGTCCAACAAGGCACTAGTGTCACTGGAGCTCACAGCTTATATAAATGTAGTTAATCTACAACAAATGTTTCTGTTTCTCTTAGTTTACCAATGATGAAGATGCACCAAAGACACCCATTTACACCCAATAAATAAAGACATGTGTTCAAATGTATTTCAGGAATCCCACTTTTCATGTCAATATGCTTCTTCAGTTCACTCATAACAACTATTTCTGAGACCACTAGAGACCTTGCACATGAACGTTTAATATCATGGACATTTCAGTAGTGCAACAATTGAGCCACAAATTACAACACTGACCTTACACGGTCTAAACGCCCATTTTGAGATGATTTGTCTAAGGCTGTGTTCCACTACCATAGAGGACATATAGTACTCAAGGAGGAGCAGTTAGGGCACATTGTAAGATGATTGTGTTTGCAGTTACATGTCTACATAAATAATGTCATTAATAGATGCTCCATGCTAGCTCACTCAACTACATAGAAACTGAACATTTACATAGCATTTATTTTGTCATGTTTACTTACTAAATAAAAATTATTAACAGATTAAACACAACGCCTAATGCTGAAAGGCAGCTATACCGAATTATATATATTTTTTTTCTACAGCAACAACGTGTTTAAGGATCAGAGTAAAGAGTCCTGTCTGACTCACAGGCTCTCATGCTGGTCTAACCAATGATGTAAACTTTAGGCATAATGCTATGTGTTGTACCAGATAATACAGGGTAATCATATACCTTTTTTATCAACAGATACAATTATGAATTCATTGTTATAAAAAACATTTTGTAATTGTGTGTGAAACCTAATGTACTGTAATGTAATTCACTCCATTGTTCTGCTGGCTGTTTTACAATAATCTGCACATACTGCCATGGAGGCGTGTGGCGCAGTGGCCTAGTGCGTTGGTGTTGGGATCAGGGGTCACAGGTTCAAACCCCACTGCAGTCAGCATGTCGTTGTGTCCCTGAGACACTTCACCCCAAATTGCTCCTGTGGAGATTGCCCACAGTACTGAGTATGTAAGTCGCTTTGGATAAAAGTGTCTAACAAGTAACATGTCATATAACACAGCAAGTTGGAAATACTGTACCAAGGACAAAAACTATACCCAAGACTCAATCAAATACACAGTAAAAAGTAAGTCACAGAAGGGAGAGTTACAGTCTCCACATGATCATTGTTTATACAAAACAGCACAACATGGTCACAAAATGCAAAAAGAGTACATTACAATTCCCATTTAGCTGATAACGTTAATATACTTTTCCAAAGTAATTAAGTTTGAGACCACTGTTTTTTAAGTTTGAAGCAGGTTTTTATTAAAACATTGAGACAGCTATGTAGCACCTTACCTCATCTGAGACTTCCACCAGCCAAGATCTACCAGCAGAGCACATGGATCCTTCTTTTAAACATGTTCATGTACAGATCCACCTTTTGTCTGCTCAAATCCACATCAAAACACAAATCCAGCTGGATCCAAAAGGCTGAGCCCAGCATAGCTCTCCGATGTCCTAACTCCTTCTTCAGATGGCCCTCTATCATCCTACAGCCCTTTGTCTGTCTCTGCCATGTAGGACTGCTGTGTGTTCAGCCAGCGCTGATCCCAGTGTCTGACTTGTTTGTCTAAATGACCACTAGACTTCCTTCAATTCTTTCCCAACTTAGTTTTCCTGCCTGTGTTGGTTGGTTTCCCTGGACTGAGCTAAATATAGAGACCACACAAGGTAAAGTGGAAAAGACCAGAGCAGGAAATGTATCACAATATGCCTGTGCGCACGTTCGTGTTTGTGTCTTCCTGTTTTAAATCCACCAACATTAATGATAACTCTGTAAGGTAAAAGTCCAGGGAACTAATGTGTGTGGGGGTTACTTGCCCAAGTTTAGGTGATAACATGTATTTGTTCTGTAGTTACTTCACAACATGTATGGTGGAGTGTGTGTGTGCACCTATGTGTGTGCGTGTGCAAGTGTGCTACATTGTTGCCCATGTGTTTGTGTGAGAGGGTCAACCCATCCCATATTCCCCTCTAATGACGTTGTACACATTGTTTTGTCTCTCTGGGCTTCTAAAAAATGTCTGCCTAAACAAAAACACTGACTGCACATCCTGCCGCCTGGCTGGACAAAAATAATTGAACTCCAACTTTTATTGTCTCTCACACATTTTCAACAAGGGACTGAATAACAGCTACTGTGGGGAGGAGTAACTGGAATTTAGCGTGATTAATTTGGGCCATGTGTATGTCACTGAATCCAACATTATTACATATTTGATGGAAATGCCTGGCTGCAAATGGTGAAATAATAACGTTTCACAGTATCTCACAAATACATTTCCCTGACTGGTGTGGGTGAAGATCTTTGAAAAGTTATGCTGACCTGCTAACTATAACACTGCTCATTTGAATATGTATATTTCTACAAAAAGTATATGAAGAGGTGTACACAGTATGTAAGGTCATATGATTATAAATGTGTGAAGTTATCCCTCTGTTTTGTTCGCCCCATGATTACATGACATGTTACTTGTTAGACGCTTTTATCCAAAGCCACTTACATACTCAATACTGTGGACAATCACCACAGGAGCAATTCGGGGTGAAGTGTCTGCTGACTGCAGTGGGGTTTGAACCTGTTCATTTTAAGGATGCGCACCAAGCAACATCTCCAGGTACTCCTTTGAGAACCAGGGCAAAAAAGTTATGTGCACCCCTGGTTATTATCCACCCCAGTCATGATGATGTTGTTTACTTATCTGAATCTGATGTGAGAAAATGTAATTATCCTGCAGAACATGCCGTCATAGTATGAGGCTTCAGCAGCACTCCCTAACGGAGCCTACACACGGCGGCGTGCGTTGCCGCTTGGCGGTGGGCGTGTCTTGAGTTTGGGGAGTCAACGCGAGCAACGCGACCAACAACCAATCACATGAATGTCCCGCCCCGGACATACAAAGCAAAGCATTCATGCTACATCCATGCTGGCTAAATATACTGTCTATGCTTGCTAGCTGTCCATTCAAACGAAGTACACTGGATATAAACTCCCCAAACAGGCGAAAACCTACCACTGTCTCTGACACCATCCCCCCATGCCGGGCTCCTCCGGTTTGTATCCCTGTATAAACTCCCCAAACAGACGAAAACCTACCAGTTTCACCCACTGTCACTGGCACTGCCATGCCTGGCTCCTCCGGTTTGTATCCCTGTATGTAAAGAGGGACTGGTCATATAGTACCGGTGATTCCCTATCGCCACGATAATTTTCTCCTCCATTTTTTGACATATGGGAAATAACTGCGGTCTGGCTCTCCCCAACATACACACGGTTTGATTGGCTAGCGCTTGTACTGTCAGATTTGCATACGCGGGATTTGATTGGCTGACGCCTCCGTCGAGGTGGCAAAAGTAGAACATTGCTCTACTTTTGCAGCGAGCACCGCGAGAGAAGCTACGCTTTGCTCCCACAATGCAGTTCGGCGAATCGTGACGTCACCCCATTCAAAGTGAATGGGCAGAAGCGTTGAAGCGGCAACGCACGCCGCCATGTGTAGGGGCCGTAAGTGTCCAGGAGCGAACGTTTGGTCAGTGTCCATGGCGTCCAGTTGTGACGCTCCTAGGCTCCTTCAGCTTCATAAAGGGACGCAAATAGCTTTCAACTGATTGCAATGTATTCCCATCTGCGGCGGGATTTGACGCTCATGGAAGCACGGCATTCGTTTGTGTCGGCTGCCCTTAAAGGCAATGTGAGCGTTCATTCCCATTGGATAACGGAGAATTGTACACCCGGAAGTAAGTATTCCTCTTACTGTCGATTGATTTTACAGTGATATCTGCACTACTCATCGACTAAAAAACACCAGATTATCCTTGTTAATTACACAACATTGATTGGTTTAAATTGTGTGCAATGCTTTTGTATTTTTCCCCTTCGATTCGGAGAAACAAATCTTTTTTCGGAGTAAAGGATGGCATTGTAATACATGGTTCGGCTGCATTAAATATTACATATCTGCCGTAGTTCTGTATTTATAGAGCCCTGAGGAGAAGACTTCTAGACAAACATGAGGAACTGAAAACGTGACGTGGATCATAAATATATCAGCCATTAAACAACATCTTACATTTCTTTTCAAACAATACGTCTCCTTGCAGTATCAACACTAATTCGGCTGACTTTTATATTTGATCCAATTGGTAGATAGGCTGTATTTACACCATAAAGGTGCACAGCTGATATAAAGGGACACCTAGTGGTTAAAGCATGTTATTGAATTTCATTATTTTTATTATTAGATATTAATAGGATCCCTATAAAGTATATTCATTACTCGTTATTCTCTACTAATAGTTAATTAAAGACTGTATATAATGACTATTTTGCACATCCCTTTCAAGATTTCAAGATTTTCTAAGGTTTATTGACATATCATATAGGCCTACACAACTATGGTGTAGTTCTGCATTGAATGAAAAAACTTGGGTCGCAGGTGCCTCAATAGTGCATTACAAGACATCTATCAATATTTGTGCATACCTCCAGCAATGTTAACTATGTAGAAGCACTTATTTTAACTGATATTATACATAATGTATTATACTCTTATAAGATGTATGTAGATATTTCATCTTCGGCCTTGTCAGGTATTGAACAATCAATAAATAAAGAACACAGAATTGTTAAATATAAAACACAGAATTTGTGTGATTATACTAAATGATTTACAAATAAACACCACTGCATATTTACAACTGTTACACATGCTGATGTAACGCAAATGTTTCCAACCTGGGATCAATAAAGTATATCTTATCTTAAGCTGATCGATGGCTACTGCCATATTTGCAAAATGTGCCTCTGAACCTTGACAAGTGCATGTTTCAGGCTTATCAATTAATGTAATGTGATGTAATGTTATCAATTAACAACAGGGGTCACAAACATAAGACCAGCTATTAAATAAAGCTCTTCTGACCTTAGCTGGCATGTGTGTATATATATTAATGCTGCCCATTATGGGCACAAGCAATTTTCACCCATTTATTAATTATATGTTTTAAATGTGAGTGTTTCCTACCCCCTAAACCTCCAGGGATGTACACAGTTTAATACTGGCAACTTCTTATTATGGGAAATACGAAAACGTCTTTTAAAACTACAATTCCCAGTAGAGACGTGCCATAGATAAAGAACATGTTGCGAAACAGAATAGCCAGCATGTGTAGTTCTGGGGACGGGGTGGGGGAGGGGGGGACGGGGTGGGGGAGGGGGGGACCCGTTCAAATCCAGTTTTGGACAGTCTGCGGTGGTTGCATCCCATTTCAAGTGCTGTTCGAGGCTCGGCGTAACCCTCGGAGCACACTCTCCAATCACAGAGCTTGAGGACTATCACGGGGTTTGTCAAACAGAGCACATGGTGTAGTACAAACGATAGCTGGGGATTCTGGGTAGTGTAGTGTCTTCTGCCATCCTTTACTCCGAAAAAAGATTTGTTCCTCCGAATCGAAGGGGAAAAATACAAAAGCATTGCACACAATTTAAACCAATCAATGTTGTGTAATTAACAAGGATAATCTGGTGTTTTTTAGTCGATGAGTAGTGCAGATATCACTGTAAAATCAATCGACAGTAAGGGGAAATACTTACTTCCGGGTGTACAATTCTCCGTTATCCAATGGGAATGGACGCTCACATTGCCTTTAAGGGCAGCCGACACAAACGAATGCCGTGCTTCCATGAGTGTCAAGTCCCGTCGCAGATGGGAATACATTGCAATCAGTTGAAAGCTATTTGCGTCCCTTTATGAAGCTGAAGGAGCCTAGGAGCGTCACAACTGCACGCCACGGACACTGACCAAACGTCGCTCCTGGACGCTTAGGGAGTGAGAGTGTGTTGTCAGCAGTTGTTACCTAAGCTGAGGACTTTTGCAGTGCACTCAGTTTACGGTAGGGACCGCAGTGTTCTTGTCTTGATGATATCTTTAGCTCAGGATGGTTACCCTTCAAAACAAAAAGTTTGCCACAAGGTGGTCTCTCAAGTAGTTTGGGATCATAGGAGATGTTTTTACCTCGTTCATTATTCAGGAGGTTATTGGAGTCCTGTTTCCTGATTACGAGGACTCCTGTTATAATATTGCATTCTAGACACTTTTGGATCTTAGCGCTAACTATCCATACGATACGTTGCAAAATATACTTTATTGTTCCTCTAAGGAAATTTGTTCTGGACTCTGTCCGGCAGCTCCAAAAAAGTTAGAAAATCGACTTGTACGGTCCCCTAACTGCCTAGATGGCATCACTAACTTCCTCAGCCCTCTCCTCTACTCCCCGTTCACACACAACTGCGTGGCCACACACAGCTCCAACACCATCGTGAAGATGGCTGACGACACGACCGTCATCTGCAAGATCACCGACGGCAACGAGACGGCGTACTGAGAGGTTGTAAACCTGACATCTTGGTGCCAGGATAACAACCTCCATCTCAACGGCAGCAAAACAAAGGAGCTGATTGTGGATTACAGGAAGCAGCAGGGAGAGGGACACGCCCCCATCGCCATCAATG